TTTTTTTTTTTTTTTAATGTTTACAATTATCCAGTTTTAGAAGAGAGAGACTTTAACGCCATTGCCTGGTTACTTGTTTTATGCTGTAATCTAGTTTATTTTATGTAAAATGTATATTGAATGCTTTCCTTTTTTATACCTGCCTTAAATAATTTGGCAATCAGAATTAAAAAGGTTTTTTTTTTATAACGGCTTCTTGTCTGTCTCGACTTCTTTCTAGTTGGCTGATAGTGATTCCAATTTTCAAAAAGCGGTTTCTTGATATTATGAATGTTCAGTTCATGGAGTACACACATGCTAAGCTTTCTTATATGATATGCGGGTATAACATCCAAGCGGTGTGTTTAATTCAGAGGACATGTTCATAGTCACTGGGTCTTTACTCTGAACAGGGGGCGTGATATCACTACAGATTGGTAGATACAGGTGGTTGTGATACGGAATGATATTGCAAAGTTAGTCTTGGCAATGCGTGGACGGTAGGTGAAGTGTGTAAAAAGTCAGCTAGCCATTTATTTGACTCGCCATTAAGTTGTCCCATGAGCGGATTTTATGCCAAACGTACAGAATTAACTGCCTCCTTCCTTTCTTCTTCCTTGCCCCCTTCCCGTCCTCCCTCCCTTCCAAGAAGCACTCACTGAGCACCTACTTTTATCCCGGACACTGTGTAGGCGCTGGAATATGGCCGTGAACAAAACAGATCGAAATTCCTGTACTCACAGAATTAGCATTTTTAGGTGTGGTAAGCATAATAAAATATCTATGTGATAGCGTATAATAGATGGTTGATAAACACTACGGACCGAAAGCACGTGAGTGGGCATTGGGATGTGAAAGTCCACGAGTGTAGATAGAGCGATCAGAGAAGCCTCAGTACTGGGGATGAGAAGTGATCCATACACAGATCTGAGGGGGCGGGGGGGGGGTGGGCATCTCAGCCACTAAGAAACGCTGCAGTGGGGGTGTGCTTTCTGTGTCTGGACTGGTTGATCTCCGTGCTTCTTTGCAACTCTTAAGTTTTTAATTTTACTCTAATTGCCAATGGCAGTTCTCCCACTTGGTGTTCTAAGAAGTTCTTTAATTTGCTGGACTTTGTCTTGCTGTCCCCCTTAGGGGCCTTGTCTTCACAAGTGGGTAGGTTTCTGTGCAATCCACATGTTTTCTCCACTTTCAGAAAATCACCTTCAAGTGTTACCCTTGCCGGGCGCCTTCCGGGTCCAGCCAGTGTTCTTACTAGATTTCTGTAGAAGGACGTTTTTCTTTGAATTTTCACTTGGGTTTCCTTTTGAATTTCGTCTTCGTGACTGTTGATAAAAAAATCACTCTCTGGTGTTTTCCTACTCTTAAGAGAATTTCACGTATTTCCCATCGTTTTGTAACCGCATTTTTAAATCCGTTTTTTCGTTTTCAGTTTGTAGACCACATCTTGATGTATCCTTGAAGAGCTCGTGTAATTGTTCGTATGCCGCTTCAACAAGCATGTTTCCTCTGTTCCAAACCCAGTTTCAAGTATGTCTGTTAATGGCCTACGTACGTGCTGCCGCAGTTCTGGAACAGACCAGACAATCGAGTTGTTCAAAACGCGACGGCAGACCAAGAGCGCCTTAAGTCTTCCGCTCACTTACCGTGTTCCTTACGGTGCCCGGGCGACGCTACGGGTTCCTGAGGACTTTCCTAGTTTTCGTAATAAGTCCTTTCAAGACAATTTTCGTAAAAGCCGGTCTTCCCCTTCAGCTGCAAAATGACTGGGTGTATGCTGACTACATATCAGCGTTTTAATCACTGCTAGTTAGGTGCCTAAATAGAGTATAAATAGATGCGGCCGACCATGCTTAGCTCTGCACCCGTAATAAACAGGAGTGCTGATAAGCGCAGCGCGATACATGACCAAAGGCACAGCGCGATTTGAACACTCTCTCCCCCTAGGCTTTTACGGGAACATTATTCGTGACTGGTTTACATTAATCACTAAATGAAGTTTTGTTTCTTCCCCCGAAACTGTTACAGTGTTGTCTTTGCTTGTGACAACACGAATTGCCAAAGGCCGGGGTCTGTTTATATTATGTGTGCTGATTCTCTAGCTGAGTACATAGTCAGGACTGAATGGTAAATTAAAGATTCCCAAAAGACAGGCATACTTGGCTCCGTTATATTACTATGATGAATCTGCCATTAATGCGGTTCTAATTGTTTCACTTTTATAGACATAAAATCAGTCCCCTTAGTGACTAATAATAGGGTTTATTGATTTTACTAAACATTATTCATTCCAGGCCCGCTCATATCAGCTTGTCCTGAACATATGCGCAAAGCCCGCAGTGCTGACACAGTGCCGATTAACTTCACGGAGTAATGAGAATGAAGAGTTGTTTACAGCTGTGGTCCCATCGACGGCAGAATATTAAAAAAACAAGGGAACAGGCTCCACGGAGAACCCTCGGTTCCCCCATTTGGATCTCAGATGGCTCTCTCGTGGAAACTTGCCCCTGCTGGTCAGCAGTGGTCACTAACACGCAGGGAGTTAAAGGCTGGCCTTCTGCATTCACCCTGGCTGTGAATTTACTGTGGTTTCGGCCCAAGGGTCTGAGAGTCACCAGAAGGAATGGCCATGATTGATACAGGATAAAACAGCGGTTTAAATGATAATTCCCGGTCGTTTCATTCCCTCCCTGAGTCTGAAAAAGAGACTAGGCAGGCGAAGCCATTTATTATTGTTTTGTCACCAAACAGTCATCTGTTCCCTGCTTCCCGCAGAAGCCTGAGTCGTAAATGTTGTTTACTTTCCTTAACTTGAGGAGGGAAAACAGAGTGAAGCCCGCGCTTAGCAGGGCCCTTGGCATGGTTTCTTTCTTTTCCTTCACCGAAGCAGTCTCTAAAAAGCAAGGCCTCCCAGCCTCGGCACTTAATTCTCCTAAAACCCAATTACTGTTCCCATCTCAGAATTGAGGAAACTGAGGC